AATACAAGTTTTTTTTTCCTCACCTGCACATCCTTGGAAAACATATTGTTCGTATGCAATATGACAGCGCTGAAATTTCGTACGTTTTCAAATTCGAACGTAATTTCCACCGGATTACCAACTAGATTAGGGGTATCATTTCGCCAGCCAATCCACTCGAAACCTAGGGGTAAAATGTAAAAAAACTGTTATTATTACGAGTTTAAGTTATCAAAGTATTTTTCGGGTTTACAATTGAACCAAAATAAAAAGTAAACAATTAAAAAAACATTGAAGTAAGATTGGTCTTACTGATGGGTAAACGTAAAAAATAAAAACATTTTAAATGTAAACAAAAATACCAGCAACCTTAAAAAGCTGCAACGTTACAACTTATTGCTTTCACAGCTTGCTTCGATAGCTTAACCATATTCATTGATCTTTATTTTGACTTTATTTTGAAATTTGAACTTCAGCAATCCCACCTTTTCCAAATCCATGTATATCTGTTCGAAAATTATCCTTGCCCTTTTGTCCATCTACTAATTGTCCCAATCCATCAACATAGCGATCGCCATCTTCATGACCGTCATACGTCTTGTCCGATAAATCAATTTCCATGCCACGCTGAACGCCTTTGGGTATGCTATACGAAACGATGCCATCTGTGTAGGATAAAATAAGAAATTTCGTGTTTTTTTATACAAATCTTCGCATATAAATAATATAATTAAAAAATTGTTTTGAAAAAGTAGAAATATAATATTACGAATTTTGGAAAAATGGTTTCTTTTAAAGTTATTTAAGTATTTGAAGGGTAGAAATCTTAATTGCTAGTAAATATCGCTAACACCCAACTTGGATCTTTGACTACAGTCAATATTTCGATTCTCTATGATATTGAGGATATACATATGTACGTATGTATATTCCTTGAGCAGAAGTAGTCTTGTCTATAACCTACTTGCGTGGACTATGTATTTAAAAACTTTTGCAATGCCAAAAATCCTAAACAACGCTCACAAATCTGTTGGCTGTGGCTACTAGCAATGCTAAGACACTATGAAGTATGTATGTAAATATGTCGGCTTCTCGAATAGTAAGGCGGCGGTTGAAGTTTGTGAAGGAAACTTTCCAGGGCAGACATTTCTTAGTTGATTTTAACCAGAGAGCTATTTTTGAACCAAGAGATGTCATGCTAGTGCAGCAAAAGCATAATTCGAAGTGCTTCTGACCATGGATCGGGTGAGGATCCTTCTAAGGCTAAAAAATTCTAAAAAATTTTTGTTTTAGGAAAATTCTGAGCTCAGTGATTGATATGAGCTTACGGAAAACTGCCTAAGATCGGTTGGTTGTTTGCCTGGGCAGTTTGTTAGTTAGTAGGTAGGCTAGATGGGTGCTTGGTTGGTGAATATGGCGTTTGTTGAGAACAAACCAATTAGCACTAAGTAAGTTTTGTTCTATAACGACAACTGAAAATAGTCAATCGTTAGATCAAAATCTTAATTAAATCCACTGGGCATCTGTCGCTTAACTCATTTAGAGAAGGAAAGGAAATATTTTAAGGACACAACAGATCGAAGGACGCAATAGACAGTTACCATTACATACATATATCGTCGTTTAAAGTACCAAACCGCGTATCGTCATTCTGCAAAACCGCGTAACTGACATTGGCTGCCAAAAATTGGATTTGCTCACACNTTAAGCTGAAATGCGATTGCTTTATAAAAAAGAGAACCATTTTGAAATATGAAAATAATTTCTACAACTTCTATCTATCTGAACCTGAGTATAACTAGGTAAAAAGCCCTATAAGCGTTGAGTTTACCGACGCTATGAGATGTTGCCAATGTATCACCTGTCACTGTTATAAATTTTTATCAAAGAAGTTGCTTCACTAGGTGNTATCTATATACTTATCTGAACCTGAGTATAACTGGGTAAAAAGCCCTATACGCGTTGAGTTTACCGACGCTATGAGATGTTGCCAATGTAGGTAGTTATTATCTGTCACCTGTCACTGTTATAAATTTTTATCAAAGAAGTTGCTTCACTAGGTGACATGAGACTATTGTATGGAAGGCATGCGAGTATGGAAAGTGAGTATTTATAGACATGGCAGCTTTTTGCATTCTTTCAATAATCCGGTTGCTCGCAGTTAGTAATAGTTCCGTTGCCGGAAAAATTGTTCCATAAAAACTTCGATACCGATTTTTTTTTTTTATAAAATTGTAAACAAATTGGTTTCTGATGTAGACCTTCGTAATAACTATTTTTACGGACCGCTCCAAAATTACTTGCGCTGTNTCGGAAAAATTGTTCCATAAAAACTTCGATACCGATTTTTTTTTTATAAAATTGTAAACAAATTGGTTTCTGATGAAGACCTTCGTAATAACTATTTTTACGGACCGCTCGAAAATTACTTGCGCTGTGGGAACGGGGATCTTCAATTAGATATGCCTCTGTGGCTTAGAGATTTATAGAATGACTGAGAATAGGCATAGTGGTTTTATCAGACAATAAGTCTGCGAAAAGGGTCCTTGGCTCTGTGGAAGTTATTACCAAACTAGGAACACAATGCAGACAGAACGTTACGGTTTTAGCCTGCACATTTAATTGTGCGTTAATCTGTTTACTGGGTGTGTGAAATAGCTAATGAGCTGGCCGAAATTAAGAACCTGGATATTTCATGAAAAAAAATCCTAACAGATTTGGACATAAAAAACCGATTTGAAAACCACGTCTATTGACTTTTGAATTTCAAAGCTTATTGGAATTTGGTTTATGCATCAATTTTGAATCACTGCGAACTGAGTTTAAGCTATATGAGGGCTTTAATGTCGGTATAAACAAGGAATTTATCTCTCCGAAGATAGGAATACAACGCAGAATGGTTCTAACCTACTTGGCCCCGCGATGCACAAATAAGGTAGACTGGGTTCCCGGGCACAGAAATGCTCCGGGAAACAGCATTGTGAACGATCTGGAAAGGAAACGAACTAAGCTGTAGTCAATCAATTCTGCCCCAAGTGCCGGCAAGTAAAATATCTTCAAACCAATTTTGACTGAGATCTGTTTTCATTGAACAACATAACCACAGGAGAGCTGGTTTTATCAACGGAAACTGTTCAGTGGGAATATATATGGAGAGCGTAAGGGCTTACGTTCATATGACTTCTATCGCAGTTGCAGGAAAAAGAAGGAGGTAAAGAGCATCTCTGCTGTGAATGGGAAAATAAATAAAAAGTAGATGGGGCACTTATCAGGTTACGCTTTCCAACTTTTTTGTATTCTATGCTCTTTCTATAAACTTTGAATCTACTACGCTACAAAACATATATTAAATGCATTTATGTATGGTATCGAATCAAAAAAAGTACCTTTAAAAATCGAGTTTTAAGACAAAGGACAAAAGAGATTTAAAAAAAAATAAATAAAGTCAAAGAACAGCATCTTGAGAAAATGGAAATAAAGTATGGATGGTCACCGTAGGCATGACCAAGCTAGAATCTCCGCATTTTCTATTGCAGCTCCTGGGCTCACNGCTTAAAAAACGAGTTTTAAGGCAAAGGACAAAAGAGATTAAAAAAAAAAAAAATAAAGTCAAAGAACAGCATCTTGAGAAAATGGAAATAAAGTATGGATGGTCACCGTAGCCATGACCAAGCTAGAATCTCCGCATTTTCTATTGCAGCTCCTGGGCTCACCAAAAGCGGAAACATATGCAATAATGCAGAGAGTGGAATGTAAGGAACTTTTGGTCACAGTTTCACCAAATGTTTTTGTCTTTTTCTAGTGGCCGCGTACCATTCTAGAAAAAGGTGTTGAATTGGTGCCGCCACTGTATCGCAGAAATTTCATGACGCCGGGTTAACTCCTAGCGAATTAATGTGGGATCCCAGTCTGCGATGGTCCCTTAGTAGGTACAGGTACTGTGGTTTTAGATTCAAATTTAACTGTATTTCACATCTTGGCTTTTTATGTACATACAGTGGGCAGCAGAAATGAGTACATGGTAATTTCTGTCAAATATTTACAAAGTTTTTAAAGTTAAGATTTTGTTTTGTTTTTTTTTTTTTTTTTTGATAAAAATATGATACTTGCTTTTAGCAAACCCATATAAATCAAACTTTCAAACTTTATACAGAGCTAAGCTAATTAAAAAAAAAATTCATAAAAATTTTAAGCTTTTTATTTTTTTGAGTATGCCCATTAAATTTTAGTACAATAAAGTGTACGACTTTTTCATATAAAAAGTGCAAAAAACCGGCGTTTATTTTTTTTAAATTTTCTTGGCAAACGGTTTGCGCATTTCCTTCCATAAGAAAATCATGCCTTTAGTGAAGAAAGTGCGAAAGGCCGTCAGAAAAAATATTATAGATCAACGCTACCAAACTGCATATTTAAAAAATTCAAAAAAATCAGATTAAAAAAGTTAAAAATTTTAATGAAAATTTGTTAAATTTTTCTAAGCTCTGTATAAAATTTGAAAATTTGATTTATATGGTTTTGGTAAAAGCATGAATCATATTCTTATGAAAAAATAACAAAAAAATTTTAACTTTCTCCATATTCTCAACATTCTCAAACATGTACATATCGATCGCTGAGTAGAAGATAGACCTATGTATCTCGGCAAACAGTTCGAAAACTCCCTATCTCAGAAAATTTTTCAACAAAGCGCTACTTCGGAATTTTATTGAAAAACACTCTATCTCAGAATTTCATTCAATAACGCCCTATATCAGCTGGTGATTTAAAAGCGCCCTATCCCAGCTTATTTTCAATGTATTTTCGTTTGAGGTAAGGCGTTTTTGAACCGAATTCTGAGATAGGGCGTTCTTCAAACAAAATCTGACATAGGGTGTTTTTCAATAAAATTCTGAAGTAGGGCTTTCTTGAAAAGTTTTCTGAGGTAGGGCGTTTTCGAACTGGCTGCCGACATATGTGCGTCGATCTTACACTCAGCCATCGATAGATTCTTGTATGTTTATCTATTCAATCGCAAACAAACAATATTCGTACACTTTAAAGGCTAATCAATATTTTATTCGTTCAAGTCAAATGTGTGACATCAGAAATGATTCATAGTTTCATAGTTGCCAATTCGCCATTGAAAACAAATATGCAGCGACAGCAAAAATGTTGCATTTGCATTCGATTGCTTTGACAAGGTTGAAAAGCTAAATATTTTTCTTCATTCTGCTCTGCAGAAGTGTTCCATGTGCCGACGACTGATGCACAAAGTACGTATATAAAATTCATGTGGATGCATAAACCGAGGGATGGATGTAAGCACAGTAATATTTGCATATACATTAGGGTGGTCCAAAAATTCATGTGAAAAAGTAAAGTCGGAATTTTTATGCTCTCACACACTGGCATTGTTCTATAACGAAAAAAATATACCCTTATTTTTTTATTTTGTTAAGTTGAAAAAAAAACCTTTCGTAGAAATGACATAGAATTCTTGAAAATAAATTTTTTTTTTTCGATCGGAAATCTTTGTTTCTCTATAGGAGATTCCCTGTAATAATACCCATTTAATTATTTTATTTTTATAGGTCCGCCAAAACCCCCATAAAATGCCAGAAAATGCAATGGGGTGGGGAGGGGGGGATAAAACATACATGGAAAACTTTGAGCGCTTGGAGCGAGCTGTAAATATTTTTTTTGATTTCAAAATAAAAAATAAGGGCATATATTGTTATCGATATAGAAAAATCCTATGGGGTGAGAGCATTAAAATTCTCACTTTTCTTATTTGGGACCAGCCTAATATTCATACTGGATGAGAAAATGCAAAGCGACAAGTTGATTTGTGTTTCTGTATAAAGTGAGATTTTGCATGCGAACATATGTACATATGTACATTCACACAATAAAAAATCCGATAAATGCTTATAAGTAGTATGTACGTACATACATATTTGTTTGCAATACAGATTTCAATAGAAAATGCATATTTATTTAAGAGAATATACATTTTTTAACGGGTCTATATTCCTAATGGCGATGGTTGTTGTAACTAATCTTTTGTATTTCTGCGATCTAAAAGCCATACTCTTACTTTTTGCCGATAACATCAAGGCAGCGATCCTTGAAAATTTCTAAATGCGCCTTAGTTAAATATCTTAAATGGTTAAATTTTCATACTGCTATATTTAATTTATTTCATGAACATAAAATTATTTCAGGGTACTATTACTATTTTATAAAAATACTTACCTTCCCAAAGACAGCCGACCACTTCGGCCCTCAAGCAGACAGTGCGATCGTATTGACTATATGGATAAATGCGCACCTTAGAGGCGAAAATGGTCGGCTGCAAGACATTCTCCACTTCACTGTAGGTGTTAATGTTGCCTGGCAAGATCTGAAAGAGAGAAATGAAATATACATACATATTTAAGTTCTATTAATTTAAGGAGTATGATCTTAAAAATATATTAAATAAGTAGACTAAGTTCTATCTACATAATCGGATAGTATACCAATACTTGTCATAGAACTCAATGAATGTTAGACCCAGGAAGCATGGTGTTTCTACCTGATCGGACTAAAGGGAAATGGGGCAAGTGGCTATAATAGTGTGCGCTGCCGTTTTGAGCCGAATATACATATATATATATATATATATATATATATATATGTAGATATATATATATGTAGATATATAGTACTTCGGAGGTGGTCAAGCCAGAATAAGTAGGAGGTGTGCATGCTAATGTACCAAGACCTAAGTTTTGCCAGTGTAGCGCGGTTTTCGAAGCAGTAGAAGTTCTTCCTAATGAAGGAAGCGAGACGTATTTGCCACAATAAGAAGAAAAAGGCCGAAATACGCGACAGCGAAGAGCTTGAAAAGCTGATCGGCAGGATAAACGTACGAAAATTTTACCATAGGGTTAGGCTACTTAGTGAAGTTTATAAAGACCGCGGCGAACTCCTGTAAGAACAACTACTGCGACCTAGTTGTCGATGTCCAAAATGTACTTGAATTATGGACGGAACACTTTTCCACCCTACTGAATGGCAGCAGCACTGAAAGTACCTCGTACATGCAGCATAGACCAGGTATTCACCTTACGACATATCTTGGAAAAGACTGGAGGGAAAAGGACGCGGGAACGCCGAGATTGAATGATACCAAAGGCGACTCTTGAATATTTAGTGTTCATATCAATCATCTTAAGTATTTAAGCTCAGTGCATTGCAAAGCAAAACAGCGACACACTTCATACGCACACTCGTTGAACTTATACAAAAAGTGTTTATTTTTCGAAGGTCGATCAGTATGAAATAAGATAAACATCAGTTTACATGTGCCAAAAGGAATCAAAAAAAAACTAAAAACTAAATCTAAAGTCAAAGCCTTGTAGATATATACATATGTATATATGTATGTATGCATTTTTAATTTCCAATTGCTGGGTGTAGCTCTCATAATTTTTCCCGCGACACCTACACAATTTGCACTGCACGCATGGCAAAAAATGCCAAAGTTTAAATGGGTAAGTAAGTAAATAAATTAAATAAGAAAACGAAAATATTGTTGTTACAGGCGGAACAAGAATTCAACAGCACAAAGCGAGGAATCAAAGAAAGGCGGACTACATGAGCCAGCAAAGTCGTGGTGTCCGACCAGCCAGCCAGCGCTAGGTACTGGCAGATGGTATAGGCATGCGATTGTTATCCAAGTGATTAATGTGTGAATATGGGCGCGCGAATGTGCGATTGACATAGCTTCGAATAATAATATGGCCTAGAGCTAAAACAATAACCAAGGCGGGCGAGGTATAAAGCAAATATGTATGTACATACAATGAATGTAGTAGGTGGAACAAACAAAGTGTGGGAGACACTTTTTTTTTAATGGCAAACGTGAACAATGCAACTAACATTGTGGCTATGTTTAAAGCTAGGATGAAAGTGTTTGGTTACATATTAAGATTTATGGAAACGTACCTATACACAGACATTTTTAAAAGTAAATGAGTATGCATACACTGTGTACATGCACATTTGTAACTGTAGCGCGTTGTGCAAAGAATAATATACCACTGTATACTAGGGTGGTCGATTATTCGCCTTTTTCAAAAACCCGGTTTCGAGTTATTCCTGATTTTGAAATTAAGAAAAAACCGGTTCCTGATTTCGAAATTAAGAAAAAACCGGATGCGCTGCACAGTGCTTTGGAAAACTACTTTTACTGTGTTACAAAGAAATTGTCAAAAATTCAGTTTTTAGTGTATTACTTTAAAAATTAATAGTTTTGTTTACTACTATACGTACAAAAAACAGAAATAATATTTCGTAAATGTTTTTTATGGAAAAGTGGTTTGTGCTATCGAAAACTTTTGAGATGTTTTTATTGGAATTCCCAAAAATTTCTAAATTTTGGTAGAGTGAAATAAAAAAAAAAATTAAAAGTGCCTAATTGTTTATGTTTTTTTTTTTTTTGGTACGTTTTGAAGTGCTTTAATAGAATCTGTGAAGAAGTTTTAGATTATTCTGCCGGAACGGTTAAAGTTTTATGCATTTTTTAAGCCATATTTCTTAACTATTTATGAGAAAAGGTTACGAAGAGCTAAGTTTATGGTATTGCCAAAATTGCAGCAGATTAAACATTTTTTTATACTATAAAATCTGAGCTTAGTTTTAATGTAGTGTATAATTTTTATTAAATAGCGACAAAAAATAATTAAACAATTAGAATTAATAACTGTTTTTTTTTTTGGCGGAAACCTTAAATTTTAAAAAGTTTTGACAAAATCCAAAACATATATAAAAAAAGTTCGCCAGCTTTTATTTTTCATTTAAATATTTCGTTAAGAGACTTAACAATTAGTAGGAAAAAAATTTAAAATTCTCTTCCGGAAATTGGAAACCTAGAATTTTTTTAAAACATATATTTTTTTTTTTAATTTTACCAAAGACATAAATATTAACTAATATATAAAAATTTCGTGTCACAAAAAAAAAATTAAGACAAAATTACGAAGGGGATTGATTGAAGTCTTATTGAGAGTCTTATTAAAAGTTTTATCCTGCGGTTTTCGGTTAATGTTAGAATGTTTAAGGAGCTGCTAAATATTACTAGAAACTCATATTTAATTCAATATGGCTATATTACACACCAAATAGGTTTTAGTAATTACATGGATGTGAGGTTTTGGAACACTTCAAATTGTCAATAGGTTATAAAAAAATTAAAAAATATTTTAAGTATTTTTTTATTACTATTTTATTGTATTGTGTTTGTCCGAAGAAGCCTTAGAAGCCAGTCATAAAAATATAAGGAATATGCGATTTTCCAATACAAGAAAAACGACGAGAGATTTAATGGCTAATTTGTTATTAATGCCGGATTCGGAACTATCATCACTTAGATCTACAAAAAAAATATGAATTTGAAGTAAATGAAATATATATTTTAAAAGATAACATTATAGATTACATTTGAAATCTCATCAATTGAGCAAATTTAGAAACATTTATTTTTTATTTTTTTTTTATTTTTTATAAAATATTAAATTATATTTTTTTTTCAATAAATGAATTTCATAAGGGAGGTAGTCATTTCCTGATACTAAATAAAACAAAATATACCATAGAGTTAAAAAGTATAGTTTTATAAGCTATTATTAGTCCTAAGTACACTCCGATCACAAATAAGGCTAAAATCTCGTTTTTGAAAAAAAAATATATATATGGGATGTAGCCATGTCCTTGCACCGAACAAAACGAAATTCCACAGAGCTTAAGCACACAAATTCACAGACAGCTACCAATTTTCGATTTATTCTGTTTATAATTGTTGCTAAAATTAAACCTTTAAAATTAAGGATGTATGGGAGGTAGTCATGTCCTTGAACCGATTTTGCCAAAACTTCGAATTTTTTTTTTTTAATTCACATATTTTAATTTTGCCTATTCACTGTATGGGGGCGAAGCACTGTGCGCCGGTTGTATTTTACATTGTTTTCGTACGGAAAATACTTTTGTTGGTATGAAGTCATGACCAAAAATTGACAATAAAGATAGCTTTTATTTAGAAAAGAGCAAAGCTAAATAAGTACAAAGTTTGTTTTTAGATCAAAAGTCAAACATAAAACTTAAAGAAAAAGATTCACGTTGGGCCTTATTTTAAGTTTTTTAATATTTTATTGCATTTTTCCGTACTTTATTCGGTTTTGGGTAGTGCTATCGTCGCCATTGCCGCGTACTTGGAGGTGCCTACTGCTGCTCGCTAGGTCCATGATTCGGCATACAATGGCAAACCTCCGAGTGCATTCTGCTATAAAAAAGTTTCTTCGCAGGTGGCGTAAAAGTGTAGATCTCTCCATTTGTGTAACAACATCAAGGGGAAGAACACGAATTGGAAAAGAAGCTCGGCCAAATACCAAGAAAACGTTTAAGCGCTAAACATTCATTTATTGGAATCAAATTTGATACGGTTATCGTCTTATGATTCTGGCCAACCTCAGGTAACCTAGGATATAATTTTAAAACTATTTAGGGGTTTCCGGTAATTAGAAAAAGCCTTGAAAATTCTGAAAAACTCGAAGATTTGTATGAAATTAAAAAATACCGGTTTGTTCGAAAACAAAATCCGGGTTTTCGAGAAATTAAGATTTCAAAAACGCGCCTATAGATATCGGTTTGGAAAAACCGAATCAATCACCCCCCCATTAAGAGATGTCTAAATACTAATGTGGGGTATTTAAGAACTAGGGTATTTAAGAATTGCGGAATCTGCTATCTATACATAACTAGTATAAAGGAAAGCCCAGATTCTTTAGCACACTAATCTCAAACAAAAAAAAAAAATGCACGGATTTGAACGAGATTTTCTCTAATGTATTCGGCATCGATAGCAGAGTGAATTTAAATATTTCTAAATTCTATAGGGTTATCACCTGTCTAGAAAAATTTAAAAAGTCGCACCGTTCGCTGGATTATAAAAAATTAGTTGTCAAAAGAAAGGGATTGGCCTCTAGATAAGCACTAATGTTTTAATTTTTTTTTTAATAAGGTTGCCACCTGTTAAGAAAATTACTATATACAATCTTAATAAGCTGATAAGGTATCAGTTTTGCACCGTCACTGTCAAATGAATGGACTTGGCCTCTAGATGTTTAATAACGCATTTATTTTTTTTGAGTAGGGTTGCCGCCTGTTTAAAAATTATAAGATCTTCACCGGTCGTCGGAAGAAAAAAATGAGGTTCCAAGTAAAATCTCCGGATGTGCAACAAGCGTTTACTTTTTTTTTAGTGGGCTTGCCATCTATTTAAAAATTACTAGGTAGGTACCTTAAATAAGATACGTGAAGGCATTTTTGTTAATTATATCAGATTTGCACAGTTCATTCAATTAAAAAAAAAACGAGGTATGAAAGCCAACGCCTTGGCCTTCATATGTGCAATTAGGTTTAATTTTTTCGAAGAGGGCTGCCATCTGTACGAAAAATTATAAGATATGGGCTGTTTGTTGCGCTAAAAAATGCGTTGTCAAATGAAAGCGTCTGGCCTCCAGATGTGTAATAATTTTAATTTTTGTTTTAATAGGGCTGTCGCCTGTCTAAAAAATTGTAAAATCAACACGGTTCGTTGCCTTAAAAACGTAAGGTGGTAAGGAAGTATTTATGTGATGCAAAAAACTAAATACTTACACAAGTACTTAAGATGTTTAGGGTATGCTAAATACAACCAAGGTATTTAGTAGACTTCCAAATTCGAAATGGTTCAGAAAAAGAAAAAAATGCGTAAAATTCACTGTGCCAACACTTATGTTCGTCACTGTATGTCTATATATACTTTTCTCTTTTACCCACCTCTTTGCCTTGTATGGTCTTCCAGCGTAGCCATTTATCAAATCCAGGACGCCAATACTCCAGCACATAGGCCTCTGTATACTCTTGACCTTGACCTTTGCCAAAACGACCTTGGGTGCGTATCGCAGTAATGACATACACCTGTAGCAAGTCAATTTGTAAATACTCCTTGAGGCCACGCGATACCATGTGTTTTGGACACCAAGCACCGCCATTATTGTCGACCTTCAATCTGAAAGATAAGAAAATATGAAAACAAAATTATTATTTGTCCGTAAAGGTGGGTAAATGTGAAGCGAGCTACAGCCATACATACATATATATTATAAAATATTAATTATGCAAAGTAATAAGTAGTTCATTTGCAGCATAAGTTCAATTAAAAATTCATATAGCAACATACGCTTCAATAGAGCAGCAATGGCTGGCACACCTGCCTCGGTAATTATGAATATATTTTTAAGTTTGTATATGCTGCTATGATTAATCGTTTTTTTTTTTGTGAATTCATTATTAAGGTAATTTATTTGTAATTGATACCCCACCACTTTGCGATTAATTTTATTAAAATAAAAATAAGTAATACATATATGTAGTTTACTTTTTTTTTCAGATTTATCGCAGTAGCTTATCGATAGCTGCTGTAATTAATACCTTTTTTGGCTTCATTTACATACAAAAATTAAAATGTAAATAATGAATCCAAACAACTAATTGCAATCGCATTTAATTTAAGCACTCATTAAAGTGCGATTACCGCCGCTGATAATTTAACTTTGTGGAACAGCCAGTAGCGGACAACAGCACTACATACACAAAGCACGAGCGAGAAAATTTATAAAACCAACAGCGAAAATGAGTTGGCACGTGTTAACGGTAATTATAGGATTTTAGTATACATAAATGCACAAAGACTTTTTTTTCAGAATATTTAAAATTAAATCTATGCTACTAAATATTAAGGATTAACCTTAATTACTTCAAAGTTAGATATTTAATGTATTATACTACATAAATGAAAATGTTTAAATTTAGGGAAATCTGCTGACATATAATTTATATAAAAACTGTACTATAAATTTAGCGCAGTTGACATTAAGACTCCGCGCAAAAAAAATGCGAGTTACGCTGGTCATAAAATTTAATATATTTTGATAATTTTTAGCAAAATCGAATTTCTCTGAAAATATTAAATTATGTTTCTCCCAACTTTGCATATATGTATGTATGTTAGACTGCATTACCAATAAAAGAAGTGGTTTTTCCGCCGGGATTACAAAATCTATTATATTTTAAAACTTCCACCAAAATATTTCGGAAATATATTAAGGTTTACGTGAGCTGGACCGATTTTAAAATACCTCCGAAAATGGAGTTTTTATGAATAAAAATATTTTCTAAAATGATTTTTGGAAAAAGATCCCCTCAGATAAGAAAGCAGTTTAAACTTAAAAAACCCATACAAAAATATTAAAAAATTTTCTCAACGAAAAAAAATTTCAACGGAATCATAATAATGAGATTTTTGGTGCTGTTTTTTTTCGCGTTTTTCAAAGATTTGTTTAAGATTTAAACTTGAATAATTGGTCCAAAACTATACCGATATAGACTTGTGAGGTATCAGTGGAAGGGTATTTTCTCACCATTTTTACTTCTTTGCAAAAAAAACTCTTTCACATCCCAATGGTTTCTTTATCAAATACCAACACATCATAATTCAACATGGAATGAGGCTCGTTTGTATTACCTTTCTTCTCTTTCAAGCTTTGAATGCGCTTATTTGCAAAGAAATGATAAGGGTGAGCAAATTCCTTTCCAATCATACCTCATAAGTCTGAATCGGTAAAGCTTATTCTGAGTTGTTCAAGTTTATCTTAAACCAGACTTTGAAAAAATTTAAGAACAACATGAAAAATCTCATTATTATGATTCCGTTGAAGTTTTTTTTGTATATTTATATTCAAATTTTTTAAGCTGAAACTAGTTTGTCAGCTGAGGTTATGTTTTGCAAAATATACTTAAAAAAACTGTTTTTATGGACAAAAAACTCACTTTTTGAAAATATTTTCAAATCGGTCCAGCTCACGTAAATGTTTGTATTTTTCCGAAATGTTTTGGTGCAGGTCTTAAAATAGAATAGATTTTATGATTTCAGTGGAAGAATAGTAAAAATATTTTTTATTTTTTTTATGGGGAGTGCTGCAGTCTAATGCACGTATTATATGTATAATATATAATACTTTTCATTGGATTAACTTCTTGCGATTCAGGCCGTATCCAATAGAGCAGCCCAGTCCTTTTTTTTCTGTACCAACTAACGCCAATTGGAAATGCCATGTGAAGCCAAGTCCTTTTCTTCACTGTATGGTTTTACATTGTAGCCGGTCATTGAACTAAAATGTTTCCTCTAAGTACTTTTGAGTACAAGTAGAATCGAGTGTTTTCTAGCGATTCTTTGAGTAGCATCATGTATTATCTTCGACACTTTCAATGAGTATAGGCAAAAGCACAATTGGGTTTTCAACCAAGTTATGGTTTAATGGTTTTCATGGTCAATAAGCCGATCGTTAGAAATGTGATTTAAGTTGAACATTTGAGAACAAGTTCGTTTGTCTGGCTGTAGCTAAACGTGCAGAGATGTTTGCTGTTATTTGTTGGCTTCCAGCAGTACGAATGCCATCAGCGCGATAGATAATTTTTTTTATCTTTCTCTGTTTTGGTTTTTCCTAATTACGAAAAAGCCTCTGTGAAGTGCAGAACCAAATCAAGCGACGAAGAAAATTGATTCAAGTAGAGATGCTTGCTATTGTTTGCTAATCCCGTTAGAGGCAACATGTTAAAATGATAATAAACAATTTTATTTTGTATCTCCGAATTATGAAAAAGCATCTGTGAATTGCAGAACATAAACGTATTCAAACGAAAAATCGCCAACCAAAAGTTTGGTTATTGTAAACAAAATTGTGGTTAAGATTACCAAGTATTGTTGAAAATATCAACCAAAAATCACGTTGATTCTTTCCATAAGAATAACCCTGGAAAAATTGTTTTTTTTTAAATTCTGATTTTTATATTTAACGAATGGTACATTGTACTGTAAAGGTCTTGGAGTATTATTGTAGAGAATCGAACGCAAGAATGCTGAATTCGACTTTGACCTCGAATAACTTTTGATTGAGTTGACTTATCGCAAAATAAAATATAATATCATTCATTAAATATAAAAATCAGAATTTAAAAAAAAAAAAATTTTTCCTGGGATATTCTTATGGGAAATCGAAAAGTGTGATACGGATATTTTGAATTTTAATTTTAAGGGTTCATATTTTCTGAGACTTATTTTGACGTCTAAACGAAAGCTTCGAGCATGGTTTCGAGGAAAAAAGACATTTTTTTTTTTCTGAATCACCCGAATATGTATATATGTAAAAGAGAGCGCCTAAGGATAATGTAGGTCATGGTAGTGACGTGGCTCTTGGCGAGGCGTGAAAATGTACACAAAAAAAATATAAAAAAATATATATGCTACACTTGCAATAATACTATAACAGTTCGAGTATGCTGGCATATGTACGTACGTAGGTTCAAATGGAACTCAATACGCATGAGAAAATATCTTAAAAATCGTATGTATACATACAGTACATTCAACAAGAAAATAAAACTGTTTTACAAAATCCACAAAGTTTTTCAATAATAGGTTATTTAGTGCGCAACTATATAGTTAGAATGGAAACTGATGCTTCACTCAAACAACATATTGTCGCCGCCGCACACTGTGCCCTTTTTCAATTTTAGCGTGCCAAAATTCCAAAATAAAATGATTTCAGATGGCCTTGATTTTTGGAATTCTGGCTACTAAGTCCATCTAATAAATTCATAAGAAAAAACAACAACAAAAAAAATAATCGGTGTCAAACATTGCTCATTGTGACGCGTAAGAATATTATTTTTTTATGGTGAAGTTTTTCGCATTTTCTAAAAGGGCAGTACTTTTTTTTGCGAAGTTATTTAAAAAAAATAAAAATTAAAAAAAAGATGATAATAATGGTGCTGTAATGAAACATATTTTGGATAAGCGGGGAAGGGGACATTGACCATGAAAGATCAAAAGAGTTTATCGGTAAGATCTATTGTCAATTTATTTTAAAATGGGGCCGCTGCTTTCATATGAATTCCCGTCGTCTGCGGCTGCACTCCAACTGGTTGTCGCAAAGTGTGGATTTATCCGAATTTTTTCTTGACGTAACACCGTGTATTGACGTAACATCAATATCATATTTATATCCATTTAATAGTTACGACTTTTAGTACGCTAAAATTGAAAAAAGGCACACTGTGAAATCCAATTTTCGTAACTGTTGCTTAAAATGACGTAATAAACTATGGATTTAGAAAAATATTCGAATTTTCCAACTTAGGACAGCAATAAGATATTTGTGGGCTATTAAAATCAAAAATTTAAATAATCACAATCATTCAGGATTTCAGTTGGATGTAAAATAAACTGCATACATATATGTGTGTATGTATTTAATAAAATGAAATCTCCTTTAAAATAAGGAGCTAGTAAGAAAATCGAGCCCTCCAAATCACAGCTTGCTTTCATTAGTGCATCTGCTGTTGCAGTATAAATGGCAATTGCATACTTTTAGGTGCACAACCACTACTAGTCGGGTTTCTTCCGCTTCACACGGAAACTGCAATGCGTTAACATTCCAGTTACTATCGTTTGATAAAAATAAAATGATGATGAGTAAATTTGTTGGAAAACTTGTATGGTTATGATTATATCTACATGCATTCATGCATACCTTCATATGTATTCACATGTATGCATGCACATGTGGCCACAGCTGTGTTGCTGCGCCTTGAAATTAGCTTCGTTTCGCATTGCTCCATTTACTCCATATTGCATACATTGAGGTGATAAAAATAAACACACAAATATAAGCAGAGAACAGAATGGCGGTGAATAGCCGCAACACTAATGAACAGTTAGAAGAGTTTGTGCCACATTTGCTCATATGTACATACATATGTAGCTGTGTGAGTTGGTATTGCACAGGTAAATGTGGGAAAGTAAAGCAAATTAGAGGGAACATTTGCAAGCTAAGCAAAAAATAGAAAACCGAAATATACTCATATATACATACATACATCCATTGAGAGGAGGGAAAATGGTTGTAATATGATATTAGATGTGTTTTGCAAAATCAAGCTAACAAGCAA